TGGCAAGATCCTGTCTTGAAACAAAAAAATAGAATGGAGGTATAGCTTAGTGGTAAAGCACCCCTCAGTTCAGTCCCCAGTACCCCAAAAAGAAGAAAAACATTCTGACCTTCATTGGCGTTTTCGATATGAACTTCCTGTTTTTGTATTATTTATCCTTGGAAGTACATATGGGGTGCAGCATCACAAGACTTCAGGTACTCAGGGGTTCTCAGAGCCTCACTTTGGCCCTGGCACTGACTGGGTCATGGGAGGCCGTCTTGGTCTTGTGTCAGTCACATGGTCACACCCCAAGGCGTCTAGTTATCTCTGTCGTGAAAGCTGTCTCAGGTCAGTGGTTATGCAACTTTTGTACTATGTTTAAGAAACTGGAATCTCTGGTGGCACCAGGGTCACTGTGCCAGGGGAGGCTGGGACCCACAGAGCAATATCTGCTTTCCAGGGCAAAGGGCAAGAAGACACTGGCGCCTCCCTCCCCAGAGCCCGCGTCCTTTCCCTGGTATGGTCTCTTCTGTAGTCTAAAATATTTGTCCCCAAAAGCCTTTTTGGAATCCCTCAGGCAAGGTGGCACCCAGCTGCCCAGAATGGAGGGAGAGTGGAGGAGGACAAATAGGAGGAGGACAAATGCCAGTGAACGCTGTGCCAGGAAGGTCACAGTGCGCTCCAAGATGCCAGTGTCCAGGAGGAGCCGCGGGGGCAGCCAGGGTCCTGGAAAGGTAGTCAGGCAGGGGGCTGGTCAGAGGGCACAGGGTGTGGCAGCGTGGAAAGAAGGAAACGCAACGAGAGCACCGGACAGCCACCAAGTGCCACGTCACCCTCCCTGGTGTCCAGGAGGCAGCTCTGACCATGTTCGTTTTATAGGTGCAGAAAGTGGGGCTCAGAGAGGCGAGGTGACCTGCCTCAGGGACCCACTGGTCTGTCGGTGCCCACCAGCAGACAGTCTGGCAGGAGGTGGAGAGCAGGAGCCACTGCCTGGTGCCTGGCTTTGGGACTTTGGGGAGGCCAACCCCAGCAGAGTGCTTCCTGGACGGTGATGTCACCGCCTTTCTTTACCTCCGTTTCCTGTACAGGAGGACAGAGGACAAGGATGGCCTCCACCAGGAGGCCAGTGGCGAGGGGAGATGTCACGCCCCGACGGGACAGAGGTGGCACCCACTAGGATGGCACCGAGAGAGGGGGCACTGGGGTGGGCAGGGTCTGAGGTCATCAGATGGGACCCAGAGAGCTCTGGAGTCTCGAGCCAGAGTTTAGGGGCTGACCAGGGCCAACTTCAGAGCATCTGGGAGGGTGAGCAGCTGGGGACCTGGTTTCTGGGCTGTGTGTGGACATGGGGCAGCTGGGCAGGGCCTGGGGCCCAACAGACTCTGTCCTCAGCCACGGAGGGAGAGGGGACTCTGGGGGCTTGCACAGGGGAGGAGAGAAGGCAGCATCAGAAAAGGAGGACCAACAAGGATTTGCTGCCTCCTCCTCCCTCCAGCTGCCCCTCCGTTCCCTTCCTCGCCTGGCTTCCCTCTCCCCTGCATCTCCCTCTCCCTTTCTCTTTTCCCTTCCTCCCTCTCTCTGCCCCTGTTTCTATCCCTTCCTCCCCTGCCTGTTCTGAAAGGCCTGCTCTCAGGGCCATGTCATGAGTGTCCCACTGTGTATCTGCGGTTTACCTACCTGGAGAAAATCTGTGCCCAGGATCTCCGCATGCTGTAGGCAAATGGTTTTTAATTCAACTCCACAAATATTGACTGTGCTCTGGTTAACTGAGTGTACTTTGTGCTAGAGGTGTCACAGAGATGCAAATGGACCCAGCCAGTCCTCAGAGGAGCCGGCGGCGAGGGGCCCCTGGCTGATGTTGGCACAAGATGTGCCCCCCCCCTCCTCCCCAAGGATGCTAGAGAGCTCTCTGTCCACCAAGAGCCCTGGGCCCATTTCTCTCTCATACGAAGTTCAGGAAGGGGCGTCGCTGCCAATTTTGCAGGATCTTAACAAGACGGTACATTGTAGGTGTAGTCTACAGGGAGGAGGTCAAGTTCAGCCTGCAGGGATCCAAGGGGCTCTGTAAATATCTGTCCTTCCACTGCTGACGGCCCATGAGCTGGAATTCTGATTTTTCCATCTATTTCTTCCCCTCGTATTTACAGATTGAGAAGATCATCCACATCATAGGCCTCTCTCTTCCACACACTTTTCAGGGCCACTCCAGCCTTGACTTAGGCAGGCCCCAGCTTCTTTGGCATGGTGTTGGCTTTGGAGAGTGAACTGATCAAGCCAGCACCCACCGTGAGCACAGCGTGGGTTGCAGAAGCTCTCAGGGCAAAGAAAATGGAATTTGAGGACTTAAAGCAGGGGATGCAGTCAGAGACGCTACTGCCCAAGGACTTCACACTCATGACAGCACTGTATTTCCTGGTGGAGTTTGGGAGCTGAGCAGCCCTGGGATAGGTCCTGGCTGAGCAGAGACCACATGCACCTCGTGAGGGAAGGATCATGGGTTTGGGTGAGACCTCCTAGCACCTGCTTTGCCACTAGCATTGCAACCAGCGTCTTCTCAGCAGCTGCTTTTCCATACCTGTGAAGAATGCCTCATCTGCCACCCCTCGGCCACCCACAGTGGACACATTGTGGAAGGAGACCACACGTGGGTGCTTTAGGCCACTGAAATTGGGGCTTGTTACGACAGCCTTGACTTTGCCTGTCCTGAGCAGTGCTTAGGGAAAACAAAAAGCCTGATTTAGAGACCCTTACATCTCCTCAGTGTTCAGAATATAAACATCTCTTTTCTGCTCAGTCTTATTAGCTCACACTGTCCTTTATCTTGTCCATATTTATTACGTGGCATGAATAAAAGGTGTAATAAAGTTTTGTTAGCCTAGCCATGGAAACAAAGAGATGACCTTGCTTCTAATTGGCCAGTCTCCAGGAGGGAGATAAGAAACTTTTCCCTCTTCCTCTGAATGGGCCAAGGACAATAGGGTCCCAGGTCACTATCAATGGCCATTATACCCTTCAGAGGTGGTCTAACTGACCTTTCTAGCCCAAGAGGGCATTGCCTCTCCATCTCTGATTTTTTTTCTGCCCACCATAAGCCAGTCATTATGCTGGGTGTTAGAGACACAGAGAGAGGAAGAAAAACTGGCCCTCAGAAAAGAGCTCAGCACAATGGGTACAGTAGTGGCCCGAGAGGAGTTTGGACTAGTGCTCACAACCCAGAGGAGGAAAGAGGCCATTTCAGGTTAGAAATCAGAGGAGGCTTTTGGAAGAGCCTTCCCTTCCCTGTAGGTAAGGGCCAATTCTAGATTGTGAGATTGCAAAAACGGATTCTGCCAGTGGCCCCCCATCTTCTCTGAGCAAGGGCCAGCATAACCCTCCACTCTACACAGGACTTCCACTCTGACCTCTCCCTTGGCCCTGTGACCTGCGTGTCTAGGCGCTGTATGCCTGCCACTGTAGTCTCATGCCCTGGGAAGTGAAAGGCCACCTGAGTGACCTGGCAGCCCCCCTCCCCCTCTGCTCTGTCAAACCAGAAGTTAAACCTGGCATTTCGGGTTAAGTCTTCCTGCACGTGCTCACCCAGCCGTGCCCTTGCAAGGGTGATGGAGGTAGGTGTAGCTCCCATCTCCACCCTCCTTTGGGGGAATCACTGGAGAGTGACTTTTCCTGGAGCTTGTTCAGCTGGGCAGCCTTTAGCAAGCAACTCATTCACAAGTGAGTACAAATTAATACAGTACAAACTGGCTACATAAATATTGTGCTGTAATTGACTGTCTTCCCTAATCAAAGGCAAGGCTGCTGACTTTGTTACTTCTGACGGCTGGAGAAGGACTCTGGGGGAAGGGAACTGAGGTCTCGGAGTCTTTTTTTCCCCTGTGTGTACCAGACTGCAAGTTGGGTCTCTGTCAAATCAAGGTGGGGTGTGGGGGGGAATAAGGCCTTAATTTACATTCAGATTCAATAAGAAAGTACCAAATGTCTATTTTTGTGATAGTCATTGAAAGACACTTTGTCTTATATTATTATTAACAGTACTATCAATAATGACTTGATAATAAGGCACTGAAATTAGTTTTCATAATAATAGCTTTTTTTTTTTCTGGTGTAAAAGTGATCTCGGCACCATTTGCTTGGTTTCCCTCTATTGATTGCCAAACAACCTAAATGCATGGAACTGAACATTTCCAATCACTTTATACAAGAAAGCATCACCATCTTTCCATTTACCTGCCAGTGCTAGGGCTGGCTTGGGTTTTTTCAACAGTTTGTTGGACGGGGATGAGGGTGGCTTCAGCCTAGGGGCATCTTCTCACATCCATCCCATAAGATTTTTGTGCACTTTGGATAATTTGGAGACAGCTCTACCCTTTGGGAAAACCGTTTTAAAATCCACTAACCCCTTTTGCCTTGAGGGGCTGGGGTGAGGGCGTCAGAGGCTGCAAAGTCCCGGGAAAACTCAATGGTCGCCTGCCCCCCCCCCCCCCCTGCGGTTTCCCTAACCTTGACTTTAAGTCAGCCCTCTTGAACCTCTTTCCAAAACAACGCTCCAGCTGGGCTGTCGTTTGAAAGAAAAACGAAACCGCCGAGGTTTGATCGTCTCCAAAAGGGCACTCGCTCCCGGGGGGATTGGGGCAATTTGCTCGCTACGTCGTTCAGGGATTTAAATAATTGCGTGCCACCAGAAGCCCCCCTTCCCCCTCAGACGCCCAACCCGCTCGCTGCCACTTCCCTCTCCAAACGCTGGCGGGGGTGGGTGGCAGCACCGAGGCGATTTTATTCGTATTTTTTTCCTCCGGGTTTTGTCATGGAAACGCTGACACAACCTCCAGACGGCGGCCGAGCTCGGCCGGGGACTGAGGGCTTTTGGGACCCTGCGGGAGCGCGGCGCACTCCGGACTCCCCGGGAAACAGCTGGACGCGACCATGTCCCGGGCAGGGGCGGGGGGAGGCGACGCTCCGCCCCGGCGCGGCCCCGCCCTCCTCGCCGCTCCGCAGGCTCCCTCCCCTCGCCGGGGGCTGCGAGTTGCATTTGGTAAAACCCAGCCTCGGAATATATAGATCATTGGAGCGCAATGAAGTAGCCTTTGGAGAGGAGGGAGGGGGCCGTCCGACAGCCACAGCGGCCAGTGCAGCGCAGCGGTAGCAGCGGCGGCAGCACCATCGCCGCTCGCACCCCAGCCGCCCGGCCCGCGAGGAGGCAGCGGCGACCGCCGGAGCGAGCGGAGGAGGCGGCGGAGCGCGCGGAGAGGCGGGGAGGAGCAGCAGCAGGGGCGCGCGGACGCTGGTCCACGCATCTCGGCACTTCCAGACCAACTCCGGCGCCTTCCACACCCCGGCCCCGGGCTGGGGGCTCCGAGAACCGCCGCGAAGCCACCCGATCCTTCCCCTGATCGCTGCCCAGCCCTGCCCTGCGCCTCCCGGGCTCCGGTCCGCGCGGCGGGGTCCCCACTCCTGCGCCCCGGGCGCGCCTCCCGGACTCCCCGGTCCCTGCAGCCAGGACAAAAGCCATGAAGCCGGCGCTGCTGGAAGTGATGAGGATGAACAGAATTTGCCGGATGGTGCTGGCCACTTGCTTGGGATCCTTTATCCTGGTCATCTTCTATTTCCAAAGTATGTTGCACCCAGGTAGGGGGCGCGTTAGCGTGGTTTTGTTGGATATTTTCTTCTCTCTCGCGCTCTCGCTAGCTCGCCTCGCCTGGTTTCTGCCTCTTCCAACCTTACCTCTTTCCCCTCGGCCTCTTCTTCGGGGATCCTGCTGCCGGGATCCGCCCGGGTCACCGAATTAGGATGGGGAGGAGGAGAGAAGGTGTGATTCTTTCTCTTCTTCATCCCAGCCCCAGACTGGAGGATGGGACCAGGAAGGGTGGTAGAGGTTTCCCCCTCCTTCTTTCTTTTCTTTTTCTTTGTGTCTCTTGCCTGTCTGCGAGGTAGCAGGGAAAGGTAGAGGTTGTGGGGGAGCTGCCAGGGGTGGGGGCTAGTTTGAAAAGGAAAAAACTCGGTCCCTGATCCTGCCGAGATCTGAGGATGAAAAGGCGCCCGGAGCTGGCCGTTCTGAGCCGGGCGCGCTGCCTCTTCCTGGTTGGGGGCCCTGGGGGCGAACGGAGCGAGCCCCGGCGAGGTTGCGAGTCCCTGCAGCGAACTAGGCAGCCCCAGGCTCAGCTCCCACGTGTCCAGGGCTCGGCAGCGCTGCGCAGGTCGCGGGGAGAGGCTGGGTTCCTGGAGCTGCCCTCCATCAGGCACCGGCCTTTTGCAAAACACCCGAGGGTCCTGCTCCGCGTTGATCTTGCGGCCAGTACCCTGCGTCCTGGCCCACCCCTACTACACCCCCAACCTACCCCCAGACCCTGAACTGGGGACCCAGAGCTCTTGGGTCACGCCTTGGCCACAGTTTTGGAGGAAACTTTGGCCAGGTTTTGGGCGGATCGTCAGGTTGCATCTCCTTCTTCCTGGGTTCCAAGCATAGGAGTCCCCTCCTTGGTGTGTGTGGGGGGGAAAGACCCTTCTCTCGGTTCTCCCCCCTGGCATAGGCAAAGTTCCAGATCTGAAATCTAGACTAGGACAGGGACGAACGGGGCTCGCTGCTGCTTCGGAGGGGCCGGAAGGAAAGTTTGAGACCAGGGGGAGGTGGGTGGGCGCCCTCCGGCGCTGTGGCCCCGGACTTTGCTGCTGGGCTCCAACAGGTAGAACCTTCCCAGAAGCCACCTGGGGTTATGAGTCTCTCCCCGCCAAGCCTTAGTCCCCACACCACCTCCTCATTTGTCACCTCTTAACAGATCCCTGCCAGGCCACCTTGGCTCTGAAATGCATTTTTAATGTCTCAGAGTTGCCTTTCCCCGTGTAGTCACAACAATGATTTGCTGTTCGAATTGCAAGGAGTAGGGAGATGGAAACACATTTCCTTCCAGGGAAATGGGGTTGGTGGTTTTCATTTTGCATCCCCCCTTCTCCCCTCAGTGTGTATCTAACACTTGCAGCAGACGCAGCCCCGAATTCATCAAGCCTGCGCCTTGGTGGAGGGCAGAGGAATAAAGCTGTTCTCTGCATCACAGGCAGGGCTGCCGGCTCTGGGATTCCTTGACAGCGAGGGCACAGAGGGCCCCACTGCCCTGCTGGGCCTGGACCAGTCTTTAAGGCAGCCTGGCTGCCAGGGATATGGTCCCACACTACCCTATGGAACCTCAGAACACGCGAGCCAGCCCTTGTAAAAGATGGCTTTTGTTTGCAGCTGGGTATTTTTAGTTTAATGTCAGCAAACTAGAGCGGGCGTTTGTCTCCTCACCCAAACCTGTGGTTGTGAAACTTCTAAGGGAATTTAAAAATGGACCTTGCTCACATTCCCCTAGCCAGGCCGCGGTTGCAGCGGGCATCAGATAGTGCCAAACTTCTGGGGCTGCTGGAGACCAGGCCAGACTCTCCCCAGAGGGTTAGAGGACAGGGCGGTGTGCCGATATAATGGAGAACTACAAAGGGCCTGATGATTTGGTCTAGACTCGAGAGATGTGTTCAGGCCCATTCAAGTTTCGCTGGAACTGAGCATGCCAGGTAATTCTCTGCAGAAATGCCTCAACAGGGATCAGTGTCAGCCCCCAGCAGAGTGCACATTAGCTTCTCTGTACCTGTGAATTGTCCAGCCAAAATCCGTTTTCACAGATCCCCTGAGAGAATTGGGACATAACTTTCTAGCTAAAGATAGTGGGAAGAAACTTTCAACTTGTAATTGGCTCTTTGCTAAAATTTCCAGCTCTAGTCAGAATATTTTGTCGACTTGGAAGTAGATGGAGCTCTTTTCCGTCTAGCCTGTTGGAACTAGCAGCACAGCCTTTACTAAGCTTGAGCTGGTCAGGATCCTCTCTCTGTGATCTGCCCTGCCCTTTGCTTCGCTTTCTGGTCCCCTTTCCACACAAGAAATAACGTTTGTTTATCTATGTATTTATTTGGCATTTTTAAAATTCAAATTTCTATGAGGATGCTTTTCAGCTATTTCCCCCTGGTGCACAGCAAATACGACTTTCAAAACATTCTTTTGAATGTGAAACTATAGACAGTTAATTTGAAAGGTCTTCCTTGTCTGAAATTACATGTAGTTCAGCAAAAAATTCTGCATCAACAGTTTATTATTACCTGGGGCATGCCAAATGCAAAAATGGTTTGGAATCCATTTAAAACATTTTTTTTGGGGGGGGGGGTTTCATTTTGTTAGAGTATACTTTTGATGACAACCTGTGCTACATCTTTTTTCCTATGGCTTTGAGTTTTGTGGTGCTGGGGATTGAACCCAGGACTTCCTGCATGCTAGGCAAGGGCTCTGTCACCGACCTACATCCCTGGCCCTTTTTATTTTCTTTTGAGACAGAGTCTGGCTAAGTTGCTCAGGCTGGCCTCCAACTGGCCATCCTCCTACCTCAGCCTCCCTAGTGCCTGGGATTATATACGCGTGCCACTGTGCCTGCCTTGAATTTCTTTAAATGTGACTTGATTTTTGCATCTCTGAAGAATCTTAGGATGAGGATAGCTGATACTGGTAGCCTGGCTTTGCAATTTCGGTTTCTCCAGGTCACTCTGGGAGAGGCAGTAGGGACCACAGCATGGTACAGATTGTCTTGCTAAAAATTTGGAGCCCTCTGGCAGGAGTTCTAGATGTGATTAGAAAAATAGTGTTCCAAAAGAAATGGACTTCAGGCTTCACTAGTGGCTGGAGGGTGTGAAGGGGAGAGGATCATAAAAGAAGACAGCTGTCAGGGGCCTGTCTGTCTTTCCCTCCTGTTCTAATCTGGGGCCATTGTCTTTTGTACTTTTCTAATTCATAAGCTTGAGTAATTCATGAATTTGAGCAATCAGCCGTCAATTAGTGGAGGGTTTAGAGAAATGGGCCTTGTCAGGCAGTTTTCTTTAGGAGTCTTTGACCCTCTGAGTTAATAATCTTTATTAAGAATACTTTTTGAGGCAGGCACCACATTTCAAGCTCCGTTCTCATCCTGATGTTTTACCCAGTGCCTGACACACGGTAGAGTCTCCTTAAAGTCTTCGCTGCCTGAATGCATGTGACGTCTAGGAGTCTAGAAACAGACCCCTGTCGCCAGTTTCCAGGAAGGTGACTTCAAGCCTTGCCAAGAATGTCTCGCCAGTGACTCTGGCTCTGTCGGTGGGGACACTTCCTTGCCTTCCTGGAGTCTGAGTTCCCCTGAGACCTAGACCCAGTTTTAGCCGATCTGGTAGCAGAAAGGAGCTCTTACCTCGGCCTCAATTTGCGGCCCCTGAGGTGTCAGGCAGAGTGTGCCCTGGATGCTGAGGAAGGCTGGCCCCTTTTAGCCTCGGACTTGAAGAACCTCGCCTGGCATGCGTGCGGCCCGGGTTCGATCCTCAGCACCACATACAAACGAAGATGTTGTGTCCGCCAAATACTAAAAAAAATAAAAAAAAAAAAAGAACCTGTCCTCAGGACAGGTACCATATAGATGTGAACCACTCCCCAAGGCAGTGCGATTGGAGGCACATACCTGTGGTTTCTGCACTCTTTTCAGGCCCTCTGTGAACTTGTGGAAGTTCATCCCCTTACATTAAAATGTCTTGCATACCTGCAGCAGGCCCGGCTTTGATGGAGCAAGGGGGGGGGGAGGTGGAGGCCTCCCCTCCGGGCTGCCTCTGTGCTGAACCTCCCACCTCCTTTTGTGCTGTGGGGTAGGATTGTGGTTTTTGTTTGAAGGCTACGGTTTGTAGAAGAGAGACCTGCCTGCCAGGGGAAAAGCCTTTCTTCTCTCTTTTTCCTTTTGCATTATGTTGACTTTCAATGTCACCTGGGATTTCTTTGCCCTGGTTGAATGTAGAGTCTTTCTTTAAAGACTTCTCCGGTTACCTCCATGTAGTTTCATTGGACCAGGTTGAATATAAAATGCAGGTGGTATTGAACTTTTAATCTAATTATAAACATAATGGGCTCCTCTTTGAAAGTTTGGGATGCCCTGAAGATAAACAATCACCCGTTGTTTGATCACTCAACGGCAAACTGCCAGTTTTTCTCCACTTGCTAAAACATATATGCAAATGAACAGGCCTCATCAAAATGCTGCAAAATCTGAAACTTTTTGAGAGTCGATGTGGAAAATTCCACACCTAACTTCATGTGATGGATCACATTCAAAACACAGATGCACTAAAAATATTGTATTAAGCTACCCTCAGGCTATGTGTGCAAGGTGTATATGAGACACAAATGGATTTCACATTTATATATGGGTCTGACTCCCCAAGTTATGTGCATTATTATGCATATGCACATATTCCAAAAATCTGAAAAAAAAGTCCTAAATTTGAAACACTTCCGGCCCTACACATTTCAAATGAAGGATATATTACCTATATGTATTTAAAAAAAATTTGAAGTGACATCATGCATTTTTTTATCTCGACTGATAAAATATTATTTTAGATAAACTCATCATTATGGTGACTAGTTATTAAGTTTGAAGACAGTATGTTTAGCCACAACCTCTTAAATTCATAGACCTGCGTGTGTCTCTGTCCCTACCTACCCCTTTGCAGGATATCAGGCCAGAATTGTTTCATTTCTTCTTTTCTTTTTTGTTATTGTTTCTGCACAAATTTGTTTTACA